TGGTCAATCAGAGGATCCCGCGATCGCGGCAAGTCTAATTCCACCTGAATCACGGGCTAAACCGGCCGGTTCGGCCAATCTGGGGAAATTTACGGGGTATTTATGCTAATAATACCACCGTTCTTTCTCGTGCACACCCAGCCGTTTTTTCGCAACTTCGTTTGCTCAGGTACGGAACGCATTAGGCTAAATTAAAAAGATTCGCCATCGTCCCTTTCTTCCTCCCCTCACCTTTCTTCCATCCTCCCGTTGCCCCTTATGCCCCTCTGCTGTACCCTTTTTCCCGCTTTCTTTTACGTTCGCGCGTTCTTCCTCTACTTGCCTTTCACACTCCCTTCTTCGGCTATAACAGGGCCCCTTTTTTCGCACGCTTTCTCCGTTCTCCCCTTGCTTCTGTTCTGGAATCTCCACCCGTGTTCTAGCCCGGTCATGATGTCATCGCTAAGGCAGTTCGGGCCGGTGATGTCCTGCCCATCCTGATCCAGTTGTGACCGCGTTCTAGACCTGTCGTGAGGTCATCGTTATCGCGGTTCGGGCCGTTGATGTCCTGCCCTCATCCTGAGCCTGCTGTGGCCGCTCTTCGGGTACTTTCGTGCGTTTCCTAACGAAACGGTCAAATGAAGAGGGTAGGGCGATCCGCTTTGGCTCATGAACGTCAACCACGCAACGCTCATGCAACTTTCCCGGCGCTACAGTCAAGCACTTTGGCGTGCTATCTTTACTGGGTTTCGGTATGCTACATCATCGTACACGACTGTTCGTACTCATATGCATTGGCTTTCATAGAGCGTTAGACGCCTTTGGCCCCCTCCATATCCTCAATACCCTCGCTGAAACGCAACGCATCACACTTTCCGTGATTGCATACACACTTGATCCAGTCACCACCAAGCCGCCTTCAAGTTTCTTGAAACTACTCGCGGGCTCTAACTTCGCACAGTCGATCGTGCCTACACACACGCTGCCTTTGTCGTTTGGACTATCCGCCGTGACTCACGGACATGTGTGGGAAAGCCTACATCATCCGTTTGTTTCCGCAATGTGCAGATTGCTTCCTTTCCTCCAACCTCCACCATGTCGTCTCCGCCTTTACCTGACGACGTAGGCAGTGTTGCTTCTGTCTCTGATTTAGACTGACATTTAGACAGCTTGTAGTCCGTGTGTTACCCACGTATCGCGCTTCCGGTCGCTGCTTTCGTGGCTCTATTGCTACTTTAGCTTGCTCCTGGTCGTTTAGCCCCTCTCCCTGCAAGCCCATGCGCTGTCTCGAATGCCGTCGGAAGAAGAAAGGTCGTTGTGTCCCTACACTGCAGGGCCCGTGCACGTATGTTTTCTTGCACTTTCGGTTATTGATACTCAGTTCCTGTAGTAGATGTTTATCTTCACGTGCTGCCCCTGGATGTCAACCTCGCTGTATATACCCGACGCAATCGTTCCAAGGCGCCAGAAGCGACCTGCGTCGCGTGTGTGGCACCATGCATTCCCCGCTGCCACTGCGTCTACCGTTGTATGGCAAGAAGCATCTGTTTTGTGATTGACATGCTGTTTCTTCTCCTCATGTGCATGTAGCGTTTGAATGAAACTCCTGTTTAACGTACAATCGCAACCTCTACTTTTACTCGGCGTGCTTTGCACTACTTCAATCATCCGCAAATGGCGAGACGGTCTTGCGAGATGCAGTCACGTGACCTAAACGTCACCGCCATCACCGTGTCTTTCCTTCCTTCCATCCCCCCTCCATTACCACCCGACTTCCAGCATCATGTTCTCCCCCGCATTTCTAGACATGTGGTCCCAGGTGTATTTTTGTGTCTTTTGACTACACTGTAGTTCTTACGACGACAGCGGTACGGCATTCCTCAACGCGCCGTGTTCATGCAGCTTCTCGATCTATTGTCTCCGCATCTCATTCCCGGCGAGCGGTCTGTATCGAACGACACCCTGTCGCTGGGCTGGACGACTTTCGCTGGGGTCCACCCTGTAGTTCGATCTTGGTTGCTTGCTGAACATGACCGTTGGGCAGACGTCGTTTGCGCTGTTTCTCGACCGCCCGCCGTGGAGACCTTCATTCGACTGTCGGATAACGCGCCGGCCACGGTGGATTTTGATACGCTCTTCAGTTCTGCTCGCGAGGACGACATCACTTCCCTTACGTCATTCTTCTTCAACCCTACCACGTTGGAGCCCACGTCTACCCTGCTCAACGCGCGCGCTCTCTTCGCGATGGACATTATGGACACTGCCGTCACTACGGCTCGCCAAATGTACATTGAGTCCATAGGGCGCGTATTCATGGGCCGTACCTTTGTCCACCTGTCTTCATTGGTCCTTCACATCCGCTCGGAATTCCCCTCCTTCACTGCGCCCGCGCTTTCGAGTTTGGAGCTTATCGGGGTTCGAGTTGTCCACTCTTCGCCCCATCCCCCGACATATGCGCGCGCGTGGAAGCAAACCCCTGTCGCTGCCGTTTCTGACGTCCACGCTTTAATGCAAAGCGCGCACAATCTGCGCTCTGTGTCATTGGTCGACATCGACGTTCGCGGCAGTGCTTCCTCTGCTCCGCCTCTCGATCTTCCTTTCCTCGATCGATGCGTCTTCGAATCGCGGTCGCCTTCAAGTTTGCAGAATGCGCTCGACGTCTTCCGTGCGCAGGAAGACACCGACTTCTTTGCCATATGTCGTCTTTCTTATTCCGAATCCTTGCCGGACTGGGCTTGGACCGCGTCTGGTCTCGATCGGAGTGGACCACTGGCTCTTGTTGTCGAAAGTTGCATGAGCGTTGTGTGGTTGACATTCATGACAACAGACGACGCAGCCAAGGCTCCTCGGCCAGTGTATTGCGATGCCGTTGACGCTCATTCCATCGCTGAGGCCAGAGCGGATCGCCCTACACTCTTCATTCGGCCATTTCGTATCTCTCGTCTTTACATACCGCAGAAGGTCACGTCTTACAAACGCGCTCTTACTCGGGATGTGGACAACTACTCTACGCGCATCCGCGATCTTTACGTCGTTGAGATGGCTTTGAAGCTTAATGGCGAAGATGTTTGGTTGCGCAAGTTAAACACCCTCGTGCCCGACATCCTACGCCCTGCCGCGCATATCAGTTCTTTGATTATCGAAGACGAGCGGTTCGCTCATTTACCTCTCTATGCGCCGAAATCGTGCTCGCAAGTCTACGTCTATTGTCGGGAAGACTGGTACGGCAAGTCATACTTGCAGTTCTTGCCACAGAGCGTCGCAGCTCGACAACAGTTTATTAAAGACGTCTACGTCGGTGGTGTCAAGAGATCGAGGGATTCAATTGCCATCTCAGCGTTGCGAGCACTTCCCGTTCATTTCCATGACAGGCGGTCCACATCTTCCCGGCCTGCACCTGGGACGTATCATTCTCAAGAGTTGGACTTGGCTAGGGATATCCTTCATTATCATGAGGTGCGATCATGTTGCTTTTGAAGTCCCCTTGCTGACTGCGACATAGTTAAAAGTTCTTGCCATTGAGGCCGAGTTGGATATGGAGCGCAAGAATTGAGTGGTTCATGTTATTATAGAAGTTACGTTTGCGTTAATTACAATCGCCCGACCATGTATCCTCCGCCATGGTCGCCCGTTATCTTCTCGCAGTGTGACCACCTCCAGAACGAAGGTGTTGTCGTGAACTCCGTACCCCTCAGCGCCGGTGAGTTCGCGTGATACTTTCGTCTTGCGCCTTCGTCGTTCCATATCATCTTCATGCTTTGCGCGTCTTCCGTGTATCGTAGAAGCGAAGGGCAGTACGTATGGTCACTGGAGCACGCCTCGTCGTCGTGTTTATATGCTCCCACCGTGAACCCTCTGCTCTCGTACTTCCGACGGTTTCTCTCCGTGCGATCGCGTTGGACTCCGTCGTTCACAAATCCTCGTCCTTCGAAGGTGAGGCCTGGATACGATACGACCAGCGCCGTGTTTGTGATGAAGTTCATGACAATGGTGCCCCAAAAGGCTGGTAAAGTGAGTGTGGCCGCTCCTCCCCATGCGCAGATGATGTCGATGTGGGTTGAATACGTGGAGTTGCGGAGCCTCGTGATGGAGCGTATGCGTGCTTGGTCTTCCCAGTACGACTGGTCGTCCTTGTTCGGCAGATCTACCGCCTCGTAGCCCTCTGTTTCGCACAGAGCTGTAACCAGAGGAAGCAGATGTTCTTCGCCGGGCAGGTATACGTCCAAGTCGCTCATGCTCTGCCACCCACCGACGTCGTCCCACGCCGACCCAGCAAGTGCAACCGCCAAGGCCGTCGATCCTGATACCACACCGCCCGCTTCTCCTAACATGGTCAGGAGACGCCTGGGATCCTTAACGTGCTTCCCCACTTCCCTGACTATCCTGTTGCGTAGTTCCGCTTGACACAGTGCTCGTAGAGAAAAATTGACATGGGACAGGCGGGCGAGGGAGAGCGTGTCGACATAATGGAGCGTTGCTGCAACAAGCTCGGGTGCCAGTTTGTGCATCATGCTGTTCTCAGTCAGTTCTTCTGCCACGCAATACGTCTTTTGTTCTGAGCGTACTCGGAAGTGGAGCACTTTGTTCGTTTCTGTACGAGTAGGGAACCGGGATGTCTAGCTATTGCAGCAGGGGATGGGAGAGGGGGAATTCTCATTCGACGTGGCTTGTTCTATATCCTCTTTTGGGACCCGTTCGCGCGTCCGATCCTCGGCTTCCGTGATTCGATCCCATGTCTCACTATCTATTTGCTTGATGGAAATATGCTAACGTACAAAAGGGTCCGTGAAACCTGGCTTCCGGTGTACCTAATACAGTCCCGGATTTAAGTGTGCATCCGCCTCGAGCTCGTCCACTCTCGCCTTGTTCACATTTAGCTTAGTCAAGTTTCAGCAGACAGAAGACACACCTTCGCTTCCTCTAGTTCTCTCCGAGCGCGTTGTAAATCTCTACGTATCGGATCCTCCTGCCTCTTTGCTTCTATACCCAGCCATGTCTCGCGCGCGTCTTTGAACTTGATATGCCTTGATGTCTCGAGGTCTTCTATGGCCCCTTCGTCCCACCAGCGGACAGCACCATAGATCGTTACGTGAAGCTGTTTGCGCTGTATTTTGGCTGCGCTCACGACGTTCTCTGCGAAAGAGCTAAGGCCGCTTGGTCCTCTCCAGTCCGGTCGGCAGGTAAAGGCGACACTCTCCAAGAGCGGGCTTGTGACGCTTTTGAGCGCCATGGCGGATACGCGCTCGTCTTCAAACTCCACCGTTGTAACGTGTGTCAAGTTCGTCAGGAAATCGAAGTCGAAGGCGTCCGTTATCCACGTTCGTACTCCTCTGTGCATGCGTCCTATTTCTCTTATTACCAAGCGTTGTATGGAATCCTGCGCGAAAGCGAGGAGCGGGTCGTGGTCTTGTGGTGTTACGGTCAGCTGCCGCCTGGACACCGCGCCCGGGCGCACGTAAAATGATGCTTTCCCTTCGTCTTCACCAGTCAGCTCCGATATTTCCTCTCCGTCCGCGAACGCCGGCCGTCTGTCGTCTCGTGAGTGACTTTCGCAGACCGTTGTCCATCGCACGCCGATGCTGGCTTCGACTATCATGTCGAGAGCGGTTGTGCCATTAAGGCCACTGCATTTCAGCGCGTCTGTGGGCGGGATGAACATCCCGTCGATGGCTGAAAGTACGGTCAACGCGCACGACGGCGCAGGACTCAGCATCGATGCGAACTCGAACATGTTCGTAACGGCCGGGCCTCGTAAGTCCAGTCTTTTCAAGGACGGTAGATAGACTGGTTCGTGCACGTGTACGTTGCCTCTGTCCGTGATGTTGATGGCGTTCAGCGTTATGACTTCGGCCCGCTTGTATAGTTGAAACCAATCCAACAGGTCTTCGGTCGTGCGGTTTGCTGCTGCGTACCAAGCCGGGCGATGAAGGTACGTCTTAGACCACCCGGCCGAGTGGCGCTCTCTCGCCGTCACCGTTTCACATACCACTATCTCTACCCTCTGCAATTTGGAGTCTATGAGTCTTGGCCAGTCCATGGTTGGCGTGGCGTGATAGACGAGGGATGTAAGGTTGTCAAAAACCGCGTGCGCGAATACGTTTGGCCACGTTTGCGGCCCGAACGCCGAACCCAGGCAGTTGAGCTTTGAAGACTGAATCGCTGAGCGCAACAAGGATGATTTGATTGTTGTGGCACGGCGTAAGTCGGCGCTTCTCGTGTTGATCAGCCATTCCAGCGCGCTCATATCGCCCACTACGTATGACGCAGCCAGAAGTTCGTCGAGGTCAAAATGTAGTGGTGCCTGTCGTGCCCGTAATATGAACGCTCCTATGGCCTGCTTCTTCGGGTATTTGCACACATTCGCTCCCCACAGCGCATGACACTCCATCGCCCCTACCCTCCACGACGCGCTGACGTGTGTCATCTTGACCCACCCATGGTCTATGATGTGCCTTGACTCTTTGACTTGACCGGTGACCGTTATCGGTTCTTGAGAGGCCACCTGTTTGACTATTTCTCCTTTGATTTCCGCAGGAACCTGCCCTGTTGTTAGCCGTGTGGCAGTGAAGAATGCCTCGTTCTCTCACAGACGACATCGCGCGCATGTGTGCCTGAGGAGTATGTTAACCATTCGTAATCTTGCCGTAGAGGCGCCACTTACTGATCAACTTCTGCTCGCGGCCTTGTTGGGGGGATTAGGGTAAGTGGGTGTTCAACAGCGAGGATGATGACGCACACGTCACGTGACGGTTCTCTCACGCAAACGGCGAGACCGTCTCGCCGTTTGCAGAGCGTCATATTTTTAAACGCTCTACCCACCCTCTTTCTCTCTACAATACTAGTCTGTACGCGTGTACACTTAGTTCTGTCTAACTATACTGACTGGATCTTTATCTGGATTTTTGGCCACTGTGCAAATGCGTTCCCAGATGCGCGTCGGCGCGTTTTCCAGTCCGGTCATCTTCCGGGTGGCTTCTGTTGGAACTTCTAATCGCCAAAGGCTGCGCCCTTCAAAATGGTAGAATTCATGTTGACACATTTTGTTCACGTGGCGTCTCTGTCTCCTTATAATGCCGACGCTCGACTTTGATTCTCTCATCTCGCATCTTGCACTCTGACCTTGACCACCATGACTACCACCACCACCGCCGCCTGCTCTTCTCCTCCTGAGGGTAATATTGAGTAGACTGGATAATATGCATTACTAATAGTGCCGGTAGGGTTCTTTGTGGGCCGGGACGGCAAGCTTGTCATCAAGGGCCGAGACCAGTACACCGCGTACGGCGTTCGGCGCGGCAGGAACGGCACGCGCGTTGTCCGGTCGCAGTACGTCATCCTATTAATGACCATACGGCACCGCCTGACGTTTCGCAGCACGGCAATGCTCGCTGAGATATCCGGCGTCTCCAACGCGGTAGGGCGCGGGTTTGATTCCGTCCTTGAGGCGCAGGAGTGGTGTGACGAGTTCATTCTTCGAGAGAACCCCGCTCGCATCGCGGCCCTGCGTGCGGAAGTCGATGCTTTGGTTGCGGAGTTGCTCGGCGCCCGTTCCCGCATGTAGCTAGTACTCGGTAGCAGATCAACGAGTCGATGAAGTCGAAATCGATAGCCCCTGGGCGTCTAAGTGTGTCATCAGCGGAAGTTTCTCAGCGACTGTGGCAGGAAGTCAAGCACGAGGTTTGCGTCGTATCAGGGTCCGCCTCGGGTGCATTCTCGTTCAAGGGCGCTATCCCTTCAGCCCCAATGGCGGAAGCAATCACCAACTTCCGTGTCGCGATTTGCTGAGAGCTAAATACATAAGGTTGGCGATGCTCCGCCTTTCCTTTTGCGCTATGTTCTCCCAGGACCGTGTACTGGGCTCGTCCACTCCTCGTGCTGTATATCCGTACTGTCCGTGGGATCGGCGCTCACACAGACCTCGTGCAATTCTGGACGGCGGACGCGACGTGGGGTGCTTGGTCGACAGCGTTCTCAACAGCTACAAGCGAACTCACGTTCATCCGGACGATTTGTGCGCCTCTGCTTCTGATTGGGCTTGATTACGTCTAACGGAACGGTGTCAGTGTTGCCGTAGTCCATGACGATGTCGGTCTACAAGCTCAGGTCAGGCTCCCTGTTGGTCCAGAATGGTCGGATGCGTGGGTTGGTCAAGTTATGCACATGACATCCGTTGACTATCGCGTGCGTTAATTTTCACCTTTCGTTACGCTATCTCATGACAATAGCGAGCTGAAGTTGCCGTCAAGTGGGCCTATTCCTCTCAAGAGTTGCTGAGACTGGAGAGATTGGAACAGCTTCATCCCACAGTGGGGTTCGTACACTGTTCTTGCCGCGTACCCCTTAGCTCAATCTTCTGACAGCAACGTTGACTTCAGTCCATGGGCTCGCGTCATGAGTGATCATGTCGATATTATATCTTCTTCGTCGATAGCATGTGCGCTACACCGCGCTCGTCCATTCGCTTGACGCTAACCTCTGTCAGGCGTCTTGGACATATCTTTTGCTAAAAGTGATCATTCCATTTACCTCAAGAAGTGGTCGATCAAGTGGAACGACCGACTCGTCAGTGCAGTCTGTTTTTATTGTATATTTTGTGTATTCATTCATCACAGGAGGTCTTCCTCCCCGCGCGTCTCAAGATTTGACTGCCACTTGTATCTTCCATCATTGTTCCCAGACACTCTCGATTTTTGCTGTAGAAAGGCCTGCGTCGATCATAGCTTGCCGTGACGGGGTTGTGCGCCAGCCTGTGCAATGTAACGAGTTGCACTTACATATTGCATCCTCTGGTGGCTTTGAGCGGTAATACAGGGCCATTCTATCCCCCTGCTTATATGTCACATCGTATGCTGCATGCACCCTCGTACTTTCTCACCTGATCGAGTCCGTCACAGGCCCAGTACGAGAAGGACAACTCTTGATATGGTCCAATATCACGCTTCGCCCTCATAACGGCCACCGGGCGTGCACCCGGGTGTTTGTCGTATTTGACCCTGATTACTTCCATGTTCCCGTTGCAGCTATGATTCTGTGTGTGGTTGAGTCGCGTTCTGTGTGCGCGATTGTCTCACTGACCGCGTATCGTAGCGCCTGTGGCGGTCAGGATTTATATCACTGCGGGTGAGTGACACACGTACATTTCCTCTTTCCTCGGCATTTATGAATGCTCTCTCGTTCCATGCTTTGTGTTTCTTGCAAGACGCACAACACCATCTTGTGTCTATCTCGCCGCTGTCTATCACATACGGACCTTTCAGGGTTGCCTTTCCGTTCGTTCGCGTCGTAGACGGCGTGTTCAGCCACGCGCGAAATGCGCTTGTGCCCTTCACTGTCGCCTTGGATTCCCATGTAGGTCCGACATGCCCTTCCCATTTAACCAGATAGCGCTCCACATCGTCCTCGTCCTTCTCGCTGATGGCTGTGGGCAGTGTTGATCGCATGCTCTGTTCAGTTCGTAACGAACTCACGTATGTTTGTCTGGGTCCCCTCATACCTGACTTCACGGTCTTCTATCACTTCGGCGTACTCTCCTATTATGCGCTCTACCTTCCATGTCGTCTTGTTTCGTTCTTTGGCCCGCTTGCGCGTCTTGCTGTTGCTCGAATTGTCACGTCGCCATTGTGCACTCTCATGTCGTATGTACTCCTCTTCTGTCATCTTCAGAAGCCTGCTACACGTTTAATTGGCGTGTCTGTCTGTATCCGGTGAAGCTCACCCGCTGGTCGCCAGTATTTCTGTCTCAGTGTGCCATTTACCGGTGTACGGGCCAACGATATCGCCTTCTCGGTATCCGGGCCCCGTTGTGAATAGACCTGCAAGATCGTTGCACGATATTTCGTTCATGTACGTCTAACGCACCTAGACCCTTCTCGCCTGTTTGAATCACCTCTATTTTCGAGTAATCGAGGGAGGCATAGCCAATACTCTGTGGAGTGTCCCTTCAACTAAGTATATCTCTCACATTGTGGTACGTACCGAGACGTCTCGTACTCTCGATGCGTCCTCACGAGTAACAGGCACGGCCGTATTGTCCAGAAATGGCCCGAGTCCCGGTTCGAGCATCTCCTCGACATATAATGCGCCGCCAGGTTCAAAGTCCGCGGGAGTCATGGCAAGGAAAGTACTGTTCTTGGAAGGCAGCATGATTACTCTGGCGGTTGAAGTCATGTTGCATTGGAGACTTGACCGCGGGCGGCGGATTCCCACACGCCGCGTGTCTGCAAACCGCGAGACCGTCTCGCGGTTGCGTGGGAAATCTAACCGCGTCACGTGCTCTTCGACGCGAGGGCGCCGTTCGCGCCACCGCTCTTGTCTCTTAACCTCATCATCTCTATCTGCTTCACACCGTCGATCAACATGCCCTCCAAGAAAACAAAGACAGCTAACCCCCGCCCGAGGTCAAGCAACGACTCTCCTTACGTGCAGGCCAATATCGTCAACGATGAGGCCATCGGGTTGCTCGCTGAGAACTTGCGCGCCAAGCGTCCGTCTTTGCGAACGCGGTCTGCTTTGCTTAAGTCGCTGCCGTTTCATTATTCCTCTTTGCACGAAGAGTCTTCTCTTTCGGAGTGGCTCCAATCCACCATGTCCTCTGAGTGTCAGGATTCCGACTTCTTATTTGTGAGTTTCACTGCGCATTATTGCGCCATCTCATTCTCAATTCAACTTTCAGATTTTCGCGAAATATCTTGACTGGTGGGAGCGTTCTGGCGTATACCAGGAGGTCTCAGAGGGGAGGGATCGCAAGAAATTGAAGGAGTTGCGCCTTGTCATACGGCGGTTTGGTCTCGAAGACCGAGTCATCACCCCGGCGCCGGACCAGTTCCTCAGCATTCACAGTCGCGGGCCGCTTATTTGGACGGATACGCATCAGTGGCTGATTCTGTTGATTTTCTTCGACGTTCTTGCCGACCTCCGCAATGTGCCTGATGCCGGTGCTGATCGTTTCGCACCGTCTCCAGAGCGTCTGCGCGCACTCACAAACGCCTTAACATCGGTACGTGTTTTGAGGGATGTCACCATTTCACGTCGGTGACCCTTTTTTGGTACAGCCGTGGCTCTCGATGCGACTCGATTGGCAGTCTGCCGTTAAAGCGGCCATTAACGTCGTCAAGGCTGCGCATGGAGTTTCCAACTCCGAGGATGATGTCACGGTCCAGAACCTGTTGGCCTCACGGGCTCTTGGGTCCTCGTCCACCACAGCGCATGGAGGAGTCGACGGGTCCCCTTTTGCGCCACCCTTTCTCTCACCGCCCGATTCGGAGTCACCCGCTGACTCGGCTTCTCCGCGTATTGACCGCGATTCTATACTGGCGGTCTTTGAGGGTAGTAAGGACAAGTTGCAGTTGCTTTTTACGCAGTTTGACAACATGTCTCTCACTGCCGCCTTTGACCGCATGCTGCCGTCCGTCAAGAGAGCGGATGAGCAGGGACAATATCTCGCCATTTGCATTAACATTCAACTGGCAGCTCTCGCCGTGAACTATATTCAGTCGGTGCGTCATGTGTCTCTCTTTCTGGTTTGCTATTTATCGTTATCGGTCTAGAACGTTCGCGCTTCCAAATTGTTTGCTCTCAAGGATATCACGCGTGATCTGCCTCCGTAAGTATTTCGCATCATTTTTCAGGGTCTTTGTCTTATACACTGTTCAGATCTGAGCGTGCGGAGTGGATGGGCCCCCGGCTCATATTCCAACCATTCATTCTCATGCTCACCTACTCTTCCCTCTTTGTCTTGGCCAAAACAAGGCTTTACTCTTCACCGTTGCCCACGTTTGCCGTCGCGTTCGAGGTGAGATCTCCGTGAACGACCTCCGGCGTGCGTCTAACGGGAACAATAGATCTTCAAGGCGATGGGAAATGTCGGCAAGCCTCAACCTTTACAGGTGCTTGAGCGGAGCATCTGGGCTCTCGTTTTGCAAGTCGCTCAGGGTGCATCCGTCTACGATTTGCTTCCCATCTACATGTCAGTATGGCTTGCCGACATCGACAACATTCGCGTTGAGGAATGCAAGACGTGGTTAGATGATTTTGGCTCACAAGGTATCGTCCTTGCCGTCCCATTGCTGTTGAAAATTGATGCTGACGATATACGCAGTCGATGCGGCGACCGATGCCCAGATCCGCGATTGGGATGACGAAGATGTCGTCCAAATGAGCAAGGAATACGTGGAGCAGCGGGATTCTCTTCGTCCTGTGAAGTCTGAGGTCAATAGCAATGGCAAGAGGCCCGCTGGTTCTCCCCCTGGTACTCCATCTCCCGCTCAGAAGCAGGTGCGCTGACATTGGGTCTTTTCTCTGTGTGTCGTGTCTGACATTACCTTAGGCACGTTCAGGCTCGGCCGCGCGTTCTCGCTCTCGTGATTCTGACGGTGAAAAGTCTCAAATCTTGCGCGTCTGGATTCTGGTTGACATCTATACCTGCAGGCCAAGCGCGCTCTACTCAGCGCTCTGAAGCTGGAGCCTCCGGGACGAGAGATGACGACCCTTTCTATGGAAAACTCACACCTCAGACCAGCGACGACGAGAACGGTATGGGTGTTATATGATGTCTATGCACCTTGCTTATGGAGTGTCTAGACGTTGACGCCGAGGGCGATGAAGAGGAAGTCGACCCTGCGGAGAAGATGGACATCGACGGTGCTGCCGAGGTTCTGGACCGCTCCGGTCGGTCGGCTCGTGACGAAGATGATGAGCAAGACGAGGAGGACGGTGAAGGTGGCGAGGACGAGGACGAGGAGGGCGAGGCGGGTCATGAGACGAAGAAGAAGAACGTTAACGTTGACGAGGAAGACGGTGAAGGTGGCGAGGACGATGACGAGGAGGATGAGGACGAGGAGGACGATGCGGCCCACGAGACGAAGAAGAAGAACGTCGACGTCAACGAGGAGGAGGATGATGAGGAGCAGTCGGACGACGAGGGTGAGGATAACAAAGGCGGCGAAGGCGGGGAGGAGGAGGAGGACGAACATCGGGCAGACGATGACGACGATGAGGACGGAGGCAACAGCGACGTCACGAACGCTGGTGTCCAAGGCGCTGAGAACGGTGCTTTCAACGGAAACGGTGCTGGCGGTGTTGGAGGCAGTGAGGGCGGATCGCGAGAGGGATCTCGATCCGGCACTGTCGAACCTCTTGAGGTCGAGCCTCCGGTGTGTTTCTACCGCTCTTTATCACACGACAAGCTCATTGCTCCTGCAGTTCAACCCTGTCGCGGTCGAGGTGCCCGTTTGGTCCAACAAAGGATTGGACAGTGTAAGCTGGCTTCCGGGACGTCGTGATGCCGTGCGTTCATTCATCCACTCTGTCTGGTGCTTGTCGACCTGACTGTCGTGTCCGCTGTAGGACAAACTGTTTCACTTGTTGGCCGCGCGCGCAGTTACTGCATACGCTCCCGGTTCTCAGGATAGCGCGATTCAGGTCTTTTCTCACGCGGATTTTGCCCGCATGTCCTCGCGTGACGTCTCTGATGTCTTCGCCAAGTCGTCGATTCTTGTGAGAGGGGGCCATGCGGACTCATTCTGGGCATGGGGCTTGGAAGCTTTCTCTGCCATTCGCCCCGTAATCGGTACAACTGTCCACGTTCAAGGCGCGTCTTTCCTTACCTTTATAAGTAGCGCATCTCGTTTATGTTACTTGCAGACGCACGCGCATCCTTCTCTTCGGCGACTTTTCTGGGGACCGTGACGAAAACTATCCCAGAGTTGGTTAGTGCCGGCATGGAAGGAAGCACCGAAGTGGTGAACTGTCTGGACCTCCCTCTCGGACTCGATCGACTTCGTAGCATTCCGCATATCGCCGGTCACGGGTATTTTAACAACGCCGTCGTTGTCGCCTGCACGCTAACTGTTCTCGCAGCACATTCAACGCTCTTCCTTACCTTCTCAGGATCGTGGCGCGCGACGAGGTTGTCGACTTCGCAGAAGTTACCGCGAAGATGCACTGGGCTCTCGCTGGAGTTGCTCGTTCAGAGACTGTGCAGCATATCGACAGCGGAGGGTATGCGACCGTCATTGAGGTTTTGTGTGGGCGTAAGCTGTGGGCTATTGGCACGCCTGTTAACGGTTCTGCTTTTGCAAACGATACCTCTTGCGCCTCGCGACCTTCTGCCTTGGACGACTGGCAGTCTATTGAGCGCGAAGATATGCGTTGGGAGTCCGTTCTGTTGGAAGCTGGAGACATATTGTGCGCATTCTCTTACCGTTCTTGGACATTGTCAGCTTACCCGAGACTATTATCAGCTTCATGCAACCCGGACCGCATATGGTTTACACGCCGATCAGCTCGATCTGCTACGGAGAGTATTTCATCACCCCCGCGACGCTGGTCGAGCATGCAACGTCGTTCGCCCTGACCACTGTTGGCGACAAGATCGTGACGAATGACCGCATCCCCGAAGCGCTGCCACTGTACCTTGCCTTTGCGTCATGGTGGTGGCACGGTGATATAAATGCCGGTACTGCTGTATACGATCCCAGCGGTGCGGTCTTTGAATTGTCCATTTTGTCTCGGTCATTCACATCTCTTGTTAGCGCGTACTTCACGTCCGGTTTTGGACGAACACCCTCGCGTGTACGTAGCGCTGCTCGCGATGCAGGTCTTCCAAACCACGCTGTCGGTCACGACTTACGATGAGCGTAATTGGAAGTCGCTCGGTGTGTCTATGGAATACGTCGGCAGGATCGTGTACCGCGAGGAGGCAGAACGCATCCACGAGTGGATCTTGAGGCAGGGCATAGTGGCAAAGCAGGGTGAGAACGTCGACTGCGACGGCTCTGACGAAGAGAGGATCTTTGCGCTGCAGGACATCATCCTCGAGTTCGGCCGCGGCGTGTACAAGTTGGCCGTCGATCACTCGCGTACCAACACGCATTTTTCCATGGCTTCCTTGCGGAAGCGCTTACTCACCGACGCCCGTAATGCGTACGGTGTCACTGCGAAGAAGTGGCTCGACGGTGTCGACTTCGCGCGCGGTCCTCTTGTTCCTGATGTGTGTTTTTATTCCTCCCTTCGTCCTGAGCTCAAGTTCGCGTTCAAATAATCGCTTCTTCGTCATTCATCTTGCGTACTGTATCTCTGTGCTCCATCTGTATACCATGCTGTCCCCCCCTCCCCCGCCTCTCTTGAGCTTTACGCGTGTAAAATACCAATCTCATGTCATCCATCTTACAATTGTATTTTTGACTTTCCTGGGTTGCGTGATGTTTTCCAATGACGTAAGCTGCTCGGAAGCTTTGCTGCCATCGTGTGTGGCTTATAAAGGCGCCCCCCTTTCACCCGCCCCTCCACGCCTTCCGATGGCTCACACGTACCCCGCTCGTGTTAGGTACGCCACTTAACATCCCTCGCCCTTGTCTGTTCTTACTGGTATTTAGTCCTCGCACTATGGTGATGGAGACCTCTGAGGATCTTATCAGCTCCATCTTTCACTTTCTGGATGCGTACAGCCTTATGCGGACTCAGTGCGTCTCGACGACCTTCAGGAGCGTGGCGCATAGGGAATGGAGGTCGAGGGTCTGCCTCTGTATCCTTCCCTTTGTGTCCAACCCTCAGGAGTTTTTTTCTCTGTTGGGACTGTACGAGAGCGTCGTGTCGGGCTCAACGGCTCTCGCCCCATTTATGATCGCGAGTGATCACGCTAACTTCATGGACGAATCCTCCGATCTCGACATCTACGTTCCTGGGGAGGTAGCGCGGGATGAGATTGTGCGGTACCTTGTTCGGGAACAGGGCTACCATTTGGATCGGACGAATACTGGGTCCGCGCAGGCGCAATGGACGTCTAAGCCGGACGCTGTACACTCTTTGACGCGCTTAGCAAGAGTACGGGGAGGTCGAGTCAATGGCATTGACGTCATCGTTGGTGGGCAACGATCATCGATAACCCCGATACTGTCGTTCTGGGGCACCGTCGTCATGAACTACATCTCCGAGACTTCCTTAGTCTGCCTTTACCCGCGTCTCACGTTGGACGCCCTCTTCTACACGCGGCCAAACGCTTCGCAGGAACGGATCGCCACTCCGAGAAACAAGTACATCTTGCGCAAGTTCAAGGAGCAGGCTTTAGTCCATGAACCGTCCGCCTGCTGTCGCGGACTCACCTATTGTCCGGGCGTGTTGAGGGTTACGGAAGATGCTGCGTGTTTCAGAGTTGATTGGAATAGCCGCAGCGGCATCATGCCCGTCGGTGTTAGGGCGCCCAGTAGCGTGCCGGCTTGTTTTTGGAAACTTTGTGATTGTCCGTTCGTTCGCTACGTACCTACGTCAGTCGACACTTCGAATGATGGTGTATGTGGTCGTTTGTAGGCAATACAATTTACATAGTAACTTCTACGCGTAACTTTGGCTCAGAAATCGACATCTGTTGCGCTGTTTGGATTGTTGGTCAGTCCGTCATCGCAAATAGAGATGCTGACTGACAATTTCGCTGTCGATCTTTCGTGTTCGCTATCATTGATGCGTCTGGCGTACTCCGAAACCCTCTTCTCAAAGAAGTTTGTCTTGCCTTCGATCGATATCATGTCCATGAAGTCGAACGGGTTGCGACTATTGTATGTCTTCTGGTATCCAAGGGCCTCGAGGAGTCTGTCGGCTACGCTCTCGATATACTGACCCATCATGCCAGCGTTCATTCCGATGAGGCTGACAGGGAGAGCGTCTGTCGCGGTAGTGTTAATCGTGTGTTTGAAACAGGGCAGCTTAACGCACCTTCCAAGAATTTCTTCTCTATGTAGACCGCCTCCGTTATAATGCTATGGACAATCTTCGGCGCTGGTCTATTGCGGAGCAGTAGGAAAAGAAGACACGCAAAGTCGGTGTGCATTCCCTCGTCGCGGCAAATGAGTTCGTTGGAGAACGTGAGACCGGGCATTAGTCCCCTTTTCTTCAGCCAGAATATGGCGGCAAATGAGCCTGAGAAAAATATTCCCTCAACAGCCGCGAACGCTACGAGTCTCTGCCCGAAAGACGCCTGTTTGTCGTTTATCCACTTGAGAGCCCAAGCACCCTTCTCAGCGATTGATGGGATAGTGTCCAGTGCGTTGAACAAGCGAGAGCGCTCTGCTGCGTCTGTGATATATGTCTGTAGCAGTAACGCGTACGTCTCCGAGTGTACGTTCTCCATCATGATTTGGAACCCGTAAAAGCAACGAGCCTCCGCCACCTGAACCTCGGTACTGAACCTCTCGAGAAGATTCTCGTTGACAAGACCATCCGATGCGGCGAAAAATGCTAAGACGTGAGAGATAAAGTGTCTTTCTCCGTCGGTCAGTTTGGTGCTCCAATCGGGAACGTCCTTTGAGAGATCTATCTCTTCTACGGTCCAGAACGATGCCTGCGCAGTCTTGTACATCTTCCAAATCTCGGTTGTGCCGTCAGCGTTTTACAATGACACAAAACCAGCAACCTGCATACCTCTGGGTATTGAATGGGGAAAAGCACGAGGCGGTTGTTCGATAGTTCCAGTATGGGCTCGCTCTCTGCGACTTCATCACAATCAGTGCGTGCGGTGCAGGTGCGGACATCATGCGGACCTTTGACGCTCATTGTAAGCGTCGAAATTGGGGCGGTGGGATGCAAGATGGCCTCTAGTTGCATACCTGTGTGACGTTCCACTTGCATATGTCTTTTCTAAACGAGCTTTTCCGGCCTGGGTTCAGGGTTTCTGACAAGGCTATGGGGTTGCCCATGCGTCCAGCGACTGTCTTTGCATCCGCCTTTCATTGAGCACGTACGGACCGTTCTGCTGCCGTTTACGCATTTTTTCATCCGTTCGACACTGCGGGCCTCCGTTATCTGCCCCTCTGTGCCAAGACACGCCTTTGCGTTGTCCGGAACCCTTGCCGAAGCGTTGTAATGCGGGATTGTGTTTCACCCGTGAATTTTTCTCCGTTCGTATCGCTCCTGACTGTCCTTATTGCTTTTTCGTACCTGATCTAGAGCTGCAAATGTGTCACCAGTCTTGACCGGCGAGACACACCCGGCCCCCTTCGTTAGCCTCCGGTTGTCAGAAGACGCCTTCACGGCAGCGGGAGGATTTGCCCCCTGCCGTCTTCTGTATATTTGTACTACATCATAATGACTTGGTTCAAACCCTTGGAGGCCACTCACCACATTGAACGCCAAATCATCCAATGATGGTGTTCCAGGTACGGGATGGGTTTTTTTCGCCTGTTTCCTTTCTGTCCCATAGCATCATTTGTGCTAACGCGTACGCGCCTTGTCTTACAATCCCAATCTGTGTCTTACATTTGCTAGCTGTCCTACCTCCTTTGCTCTCTCATATGCCGTCGACATATCTGGGTCTCCCGTTCCGGAGCGTCATGCGCGTGTCGGTGATCTGTGCGTGTCGTCTTACGAAATCGCGTCTATTTCTGACCACCGGTGACAGTGTGTTTTTACATCCTCCTCCGTCTAGCACCTTCGATAGCGACGCCGGCTCTCTAGCCGTCTTGACGTGGATACAGCCTCCTTCCGGCTCCGGATCGATACGCGGTCATCGCTTGGTCAGTCTCTCGCTATTGAGTGCTACGAAGTATTAATTTCTGTAGTGTGAGGTCTGGTTTATATACACGAAGGAGCGCATTCGCAATCTAAGTGACGCTGGGGAGGTTGCGAATCTGGACGAGTATGTAAAGCTTTCGCACTCCGGACTTTGTTGACATATTGCACTGTAGTATGGGCGCCGGTTTTGACCAATCGACTAGCAATACCGTCTGGGTGTCTGATGAGAGTGGGATAATTGACGCCTCTTCCATTAGAAGTGCGTACAATATCTGGCAGCCAGCTCTGTTGTCTAACGATCCGCAGCGGTTGTCACCCCCGCTGAAGCCCTTTGCAGATATAGGTTTCCTCCATCGACCGAATATTTGCATGTAGACGAGGCGAATTGCGTGTACCGCGTAGAAAATATGCAGTAGGGCTGGTACAGTCGTTGAATTTGAGACGCTCGCAATAGACATGGGTTCCGACGGGTCACGTGTTGAGCAAACGGCGAGACCGTCTCGCGAACTGTGGGAAATGATGTCATCGTGCACGTGCCTGATATGCATTCGGTGCAGCCAAATAACGGTACAATGTACACAGTCTCTGTCTACTAGAACCTACTGATTGGAACCCCCGAGACCCTTGTCACTGGTCTTGAGAGCAGCGAGGTCGCGTGCTACTGACTCAGGAGTCGCCGGCTGCTTGCCTTTCTTTCCTTGTCGCACTTCGACATCCCCCACCGTCATCTCACGGCGCTTGGGATTGATCCATTGTGGGCCTGACGCGCTGCGCTTCAAGCCGGCTCCCGGCTTAGGTACACTCTCGATGTCCTCGGCGTTCTTAGCGAAGAGAAATTTCTGACCAGGCGCGTGAGTCGAATGCCTTCGCGTCGCGACTCAATGGGACTTACGGTGTACACTTCATCGTTCACAAGAAGTATAGAACGGAGCTTTAAGATCATCTTGTGGCCGGCTTTCGTAGAAGGAACAACTGTCGGTGACGCTTGGACGCTAACGATCATACCCGGCTTGATTTCCTCCGGGGGGCACGGGACGATGGTGAAGCCTCCCTCACTGCGAAGATAGTGTATCAGCGTCTATGTTGCGCTCGTTAGAGACGACTAACTCATCGGTGATCTCAATTCTTTCGAATGTAAGTGCGTTATCATCCACGTAACGATAGAGATTGGACGATAATAGATTGTTGCGTATGATATCGCGTGGGTCTTGAATCTTCGGCAAGAGTGCGTCGAGCGCCTCTACAGGAACGTCGCCAACTTTCGACACAATGCGGTTTTCGGCGGTTATGAGAGGCGTGCCCACTTTCATGGGAAACGGGACACCTTGGACTTGATCGTACTTGCGAACGAACGCGCTTCGTATATTCTCTAGACCAAGCCGGTTGGCTTCGAAACTAGCGTGCCCAAACCAGCCTATCGACACGCGGTTGACAGGAACGTCTTTCTTGTTCGGGCGAGACCGGAATAAACTGTCTCAATCAGTACGTGACTATCGGCATGCGCGACTAACACTCACCCGCGGACATCACGATAGGGCGGGATGCTCGCCTCGACGAGTACGCCGGATATAGACACGATGAACTCTTCGCCGCTACCATCCGTCTTTGCAAGATATCCGCGCTTATCGTCCTTCACCACCTCGGCCTCTTGCAAGAGGTCCTCACCCTTAAAAGTCGGTCAGGGTCAAGTCGCGGGACGGAGTGAAGTTACATACGTTGGAATAGCGCGACAGATCAGTATGCAGTCCCGCTTCTTCGAGCCATTTGTCTATATCATCGTGTATAACTTGCTGAACATCGGCGTCAGAGAAGTTGTCAAGCAGCGTATCGTCCATGTCGGTGGCTAGCGTACTATTACAGCGGGGGGTGAGTGCCGCTTACTATATACGTCGGGCGGCAGCCATGCGGCCGGTTGTGCCTCTTTTTCGCCGTTCCTGGACTTCACTGTTTATCCGAGCGACTTGGTCGACATGATTCCGACATTCCTCTTTGTCTCCGTGTAGAGCGCTCCGCAGTCCTCGCGTTAGCCCATCGCCCTCGAATTTTTGGTCCCGTAAATTCTCGATTTCTACGCTCACGTTCCAAAATCCGGAACGTCGGAGATCCGAGCCCCTGCTCTCTATCTCATTCTCTCGCATGCGGGTATAAGAGTATCGCATACAGAATCCCCATGCTCTCCGGCTTCTTCGCGTTGTTTTATCCCTGTCTTTCGGCAGTGTCATGCCTCCTCGTCCGCGACCGGTTGTAAAACCGTAAGTGCGCTCATGTGTAACAGGCTGTTGTAGAATCCTCACCCGTGCTTTTCAGTGACAGGGGTGCTTACCCCGAAGATGACCCTTTCATCGACGACCTCCCCGAGCGTTATCCTGACGACGGTCAGAGCGACGACGGCCGTGGCTCTGATGATGGCCTTGACGACGGCCGTAGTGATGGCGGGTATGTAGTGTATGTTAAGGTTGAACTGTCATGACTTACGGCTAGCAGTGCTTCTGTACAGCGTGCTCGCGAGCGCTCGCCTTTGCACTCCGAAGACGGGGATGATCTTCGCCCTCTGTATGTCTGGCTCTATTTTGCTACTGCGTTCAGGGGGTTGATAATTATACAGCGCACCTTCTAAGGCTGTCAAAGCGCGAGTCGGTAACCGCACGCGCGACTCGTACGACTCCCGCACGGACGGGTGGGTGCCTCTGACTCTGTTTCTTTCCTCGTGCCTTCGTTGATTCGCTTGCTAGCGGTCATCGCCGTCTGCGTTATCAGTCTCCTGAGGTGTTGGAAGATGCCGCTTCTGAAGTTAGACATGGCGCAGCGTCTACTCGGGGTCGCAGGTATGTCATCTTCTCATGCAGCCGCTTCTGTAAGTCACTGACGCTGTGCCTCAGTCCGTCCCCTCGAGGCAGTTCGCGTACTTACAACGACGCTTACTCCAAACGCTCGCCTTACAAGACCCAGGGTCGATCTCACGGGCGCGCACACTTTCGACTGTCTTCTCTGGCTTCTTTGCTTATAATCCCGCAGATCCGATCGTAAGACGCGCGTCGAATACGAGTCTGCCGACGAAGGCGTCGTGTCGGATGACGGTCGACAATCCTCCCGAGTTCAGTTTTCGCGCCCGCGCCCGGCGGATCCTAAGCGGTGAGTTCAACTATTCCACGCTCCTCTCTGTCCCTTCTTTTGTTGGCTGGTTTAACATAGTCATTGCAGTGGATTTGTACCCTCTCAGCGGGGTCGCGATCTCGTCACGCTTACGCCGGAGAAGGCTCATAAAGCGTGCGTTGTTGTGTAGCTTTGCCCGCCCACTAGCTGCTCCTCCTGACAGCCATAACAGTTACCTTTCACCGCCACCTACCGAGAAAAAACCCCTGGTCGTCCCCCCAACGCCTAATGCTAAGATGTCGCGCAGGGCTTCCAAGTGAGTGGATCTCGCCGCTACTCAATACAACAACTCAACGTACCACATAGACTTCCCGCTCGTGAGCTATCACCCGGCAATGACCACGACGTGTACGCGGCTGTCACATCCGAGGATGACGTACAACCTGACATCCAGCTGAAGCGTCGTCGACGGTATGTGTTCATCATCTCTCTCTCTGCGTTTTTTCTCAACTGTACTCAGGGCTATGCTAAACTCCCAAGTTGTTGAGATCACTAGCGACTCTGATTTTCCCTCCGTGCTCTCACCCCGTAAGCCTGCTGTGAGTGTCATTCTTCTTCCGTTCGATGGAGGTAGCATTTACAGGCACCCCATTCAGCGCATGGCTTCCGATACAGACAGGGCCCACCTTCGTGACGATGACGGAGACGACGACGAGGACGAGAATGGAAATTTACGTGGCTTTGTTGTCTCTGACAATGAAGATGTTTTACGCCCGCGTAAGCGTGTGCGTCGTAATGATGGCGATGCCGGGGACCCCGTTGACAGGCGCGTTTCCCCTCTTTGACTTCTATCTTGTTTTGACCTACCATTCCAGACGTGTTTCTTCTGACAAGTGGGACGACAAGAGAGACTCCAACCTTCAAGACAGGCGCCGACAGCGAAGGAGGTTCGCGTTGTGTACTTTGCCTTTAACTTGTCTGATTTTGCCTCTAGCTCACCCCCGCCTCGAACTTCCGTCACGGCCAGAACTCAAGGTGGAAACAGTATCGAGTTGAAGTTTCGGCCGTGAGTTCTTGTAACCAATCTTCCTTTTACAGTATTGAGCACAATACCAGAGCCGTTGCTTCTAGATCCAAGACAACCAACAACGCACGCTCTGTTTCGCCTGACAGCGACCAGTATGAGCCACCGTCTCAACGTTCCCAACGGTTCTCCAGATTGTCTCAGTACGTACTGCCTTGCTTTCGGTCTGTCGGGATCCTGATGTTGTTACTAGACAAGCACAGGCGAAACGCAAGGCTCGCTCGCCTTCTCCTATCCTTGATGACTTCTCGCAGTCGAAGCGCGCGAAAGTGACATCTGATCCCCAAGCGTTGGTTTTCTTACGCGGTGCTGTATGTGGTCTGCGCGCTGATACAGATCCAGGTCTTCTCAATTGCGGGGTCGAGGGCGGGCTTCTTCTCCTGCTACTTCATCGTCAGTCTCCGTTCTCTCTTTTATCTGTCCGGATGCTCATGCCTGTAATAGTCACAGGACATCTACGCGAAAGTCTAACGTTCGCTCTCCGTCCCCCGTCTCCTCACGTGGCCTCGTATCATCTCCTCCTCCAGCCAGGACGCAGGGCGCTTCTCAACCGTATGTGTCAACTTTGTGGGTGTGGTTTGAGTGCTAAGTTGACCTACAGTTCTGGCGCTGATCGCAAGAAGAGTACCGTTGCTTCATCGACGGGTCAGACTGTCGCTGACTCTAATCGCCCTCTCGTTAAAGACATGAGTTTTCTCGCTTCTTCTTAACGCACATTAACTCATTTCTCGTAGGGCAAGTGTCGCATCACAAAGGACGATGCTGAACTTGGCTTCTTGGCGGGTTCTTTCGACGACTGTGTTGCCTATCTTTCGTGAGACTATTTTCCGTGAGGACCTCTGGTTTTTTAGCTAACCCTGCGACTATCTTCTGCCCTCCAGTGGTAACATCCTCCGGACCCCGCAGGAGACTGGTGCGGTGGGGCTCGAGTACTTCCAGAGCGTGCACAATGGGCTTCCCCTGTTTGACGTGGAAAATATTTGTTTCGAGTGAGCTATTGTGTTCGTTTTTCCACTCCCTAACTGACACGAGGATTTAAGCCGCCTAGCTTCGGTTACTTCTCTTCAGGAGTGCGCGGATGGGCGCGTTGTGATCTCTTCTCGTGCTGACCCTGCTACGTGCGGAACGACCACTTACACCACCGCCAACAATAAGACCATCATCAATCTTGTGCGCCATGGCGAGATCATCGACGTTGTCATATTCGCTTTCGTCGCGCAGGATGGCTCCTTTCTGGACCGCGTTGCTGAACCAACTGGAGACAAAGCTCCACCCAACCGGGCCTACCGGTGCCTAAATGTCTATCCGCTGAATGAAGACTATCAACGCTCCCTCGCCTTCTTTCACCATGTCTTTGCGCCGGTCAATCAGCAGTGCCAAATGTTCACTCGCGGTAACGCTTGGCAAGCAACTACGATGTGGGGCGACTGTGACAAATACCAAGGTTCGCACTTCATGTTCATTGCGTGCCATCCCATTGTTCAATGTGTATAGGCCGCAAACAACTTCCCGGGCATGTCCGTGTCAATGCCGGTGAAGGCTCTTCGGCTCGCGCGGCACGCGGCGTCAATCCGGCCCTAAGTCGTATGACGAAAAGTTTTACTGCTGACAGTGAGTGTCTTATTTGCATGTGCCGTGTTCTAGATGTTTAGACTCATACATCGCAGTCCCCATCTTCGACAGCCGCCGTCATTTTCTCGCTTCTCATGTCGGGGAAGACTGGCGCGATGGTTTTTCTGCCGAAAATATCCTCACCCAGGTCGACAATCCGGACGAGCGTTTTAAGGGCGAGATTCCGGACGATAGTTTTATCGCTATGCATTGCGTCTGCTCGATGCGCGCAACTGGTGTGGTGTCCCTCAACCTCATCGGTGCTCAGGTTCTTGTTACGCCTCGCGGGGTGTACCATTCCGATCTCCAGTAAATGACCGTGTCTCCTATTTCTCTCACTCAAAGTTCTCGCGCTGCTGAAAACACATAAACCACAAAAACGGACCCTGCGTTTCGTACTCTCTCTTGTCCTCATCACTCTATTTATTGTCTGGCAGAGGTTAATGTCGCAGGCCATTACTAGGCTTGCTCAATATACCCTTATCCTGCATAATGTTCTTGAGACTGACCGCGCTTGACGAGCAAATACGCTCACCGTACTTGGTACGTCGCATGGCATTCCATCGTCCATTTTCTGCGCGTGGCGAATCCGGATATAACCTGCTCTTTGGTGTGTCTGGTCTTGGTCAGGGTGCTGACAGTATTGGGAGGATGATTTGCGCACCTTTGTCACCACCGGGTGCGTCGGTCGATCCCACACTGCGCAACATGCATCTTAGCACTGTCGACATACACGCCCGGAGTGCTGCCGCGATGACGGATAGCACATCCTGATTTGTACGCGCCCAATGGTGATGTTCAGTTCGCAGTGGTGGTGGTCGAGGTTGGTGACGTGTCGCGCCTTTTGTAAGGTTTGATGCCAAATAGAGCCAAACAATGATGGCGACAGAGCGAATCGCGCCTTCCGCGTTGCTGTCAACCTTTTACGACCATGCCTGCGCTGCGTACTCGACTTCGCCGTTCTGCCAAGGATATAGTGTTCTCGGGATATTCGGATGCTTGGTTCCCTGATGTTCCCTCAGATGACCCCGTGCACAAGCGAATCGCCAAGTTGAACGTGGAGTCTTACCCTTTTGACTTGATGTCATACGCTGACGATGTCGTAATGCGGACTCTCTTTGGGTCCAAGCGGCCAGTGTTGTCGTGGAATTCAGTAGTCCCCGAGTCTTCTTCACGCGACAGCCGCCTACAGTGCCCCAACATTCTTCAAGACCTGCGAGCCGCCTTTTCTATCTGCCGGTTTCTCACCAACAGCGAAGTCGAAGGTTCTTTAGAAGACGCCGTATCTGGTGCCGTCAACGAGCTTGTTGCAATACCGACATTCTACAGGGAGGACCCGCGATGGAAGGACGTTCTTACGCAGTAAGCGTCTTTCACAACCCGTCTTACGCGGCGGCTAACGAGTGACTAGTGTTCTCTATCGCTATTCACTCATGTATCAGCCGGGTAGCCCTGTTCGCTTTTGCAAAGTACAGTTTCAGCACGAGGTCGCATTGGGATTACGTGCATCGGAGGACATCCCTCCTGGCGTCTTTATCATGCCGACATGCACTTCGATGACCAGTGATGTTGTTACGGACCCGGGACCCTCAATTATTGAGAGGAGTCCAAAGCAGCTTGGACCAGTAGGACCTAGGGCACTGCTTGGTCCTATCAGAGGCGGCAATCATGATTGCAATGCAAATTCGAAGGTGATCTTGCGTTTAGATGCCGGCAGTTCTGCACGCTGATTGAGTTTTCAGTTGTATGGGATTCCCAACACGAACGCCTTTGTTATCGTCACCGTTTCTTGGATTAAGCAAGGCGACGAGATCAACGTGAGTTACGGCAGGGACGGCTATTACAAAGACGGGTGTCTCTGCAAGACCTGCACTGGGTTTGCCCCAGCCCTTATTCGGAATCCGACTTTACCGCCCCCGCCCCTTTTTGGGAAGCCGCGTGTAGGGCACAAAGTGAGGCGAGGAAAGAAGAGGAGGACTAATGCCTTGCCCCCCGCAAATGAAGTTGTGAGTTCTATTTGAGTAGTGTACGCGATGCACGCGGTGAGGCGCCCGGTCCAAGCTTAACGCTCACTTGATGATAGGCACGTTGTAAAGTCTGACCCCAACGAGAGTGATATTTTTGGGGTAATTACAGCAGGATTGTGTAGCGAGCAGTACAGTACAGTGTCCATCACTCTTGTCATTCCTTGTCTCTGCCTGCCCTCCAAATACGCACCGTGCCATCATCGGCCGCGACTCCCAACGCCCTGCCGCTCCACGATAACCCGTTTATTTCTCCCGCTCCTTTATTCAGGCGGAGAGGCTCGGGCCTAAGCATCTCGTCGCCTCGCCAACCGATCTTCTCCACATTGAACACGACTGCCGTTCCATATTGGCCGCCTGCAGCCAACCAGCGTCGGCAAGGAGAGAGCGCTATTTTCGAGTAACAAGAGTTTACTCGAAGTTCGTTGTCATGTAACGTGGTTGGCGTTGGTTTAAGTGTTGCCTTGTCATAGATGTATATCCTTGAGTCTCGTGCCATTACTAGCAGCATGTTGTTGTCCGACTCAACCATACCCACAATTCCGCGAGGTCTACTGTTCATGGCAGGGGGTGCGTGGGGGCTTCGCATGCTGTCGCACAGTTTGCCCTGTGATCTCCGCACACAGCGTAAGTCCCATGTCTTGATAATACTGTACTGTCATCAGGTAATGAAGTGGCTGAAGTTTTGAAGAGTATCGTACGGGTCTACGTTGGTGGAGCTCGTTATAGCCGTCTGGTCATGGCATATGATGTCTGTTATCGCGACGTTGCGACCGTCCTTTGATCCGAACCCGTGAGCTTGTTCAATTTCGAGGCTGACTCCGCAAGGCTGTCTCGTATCCCAGATGCGGATTGAACCGTCTCTAGCACCAGTACATAGCTCACTAGAGCTTCTCGGAAACCATCGCACTACCTTCTGGCTCCTGGAGTGGCCTATAAGGGGATAGACGGCCTGACTGGTTTCGGTGTCAATCACTAGGGCGTTTGGACTTCCTGTTGCGATAGCCATTTTGCGATCGTCGAGCGACCATTTGACGTCTAGAACCATTACTCTCGGGTGGAGAGTTATGTCCGGGTACACTTATGTCCTCAGTTCCGCTGTTCGCGCTCAGATGAGCTTAGCCCCTCACCCATTCTGTGCAATAGACCCCTCTTTGATTCTAAAGTGTATATCACGCCATCGTTGGTGCCTACAGCCATGATCTCGCACTGTCCGTTCGTCGACGCTGCGTTACTTTCAGCTCGTCGCTCGCCGCGATGTCGGGTAGACTTTACCATTACAAAAAGAGAATGCGGTTGCCGGTGGGTACTTCTCTCCGAACAGGATTGGGTGACAGTCTTCTTGAAAAGAATCCACTCGTAGCTTTGCATACAAATGCATGACTATAACTGTACAATCAGCGTTTTGTCTACTCATGTACCGCTCGACTGACACGCTGAACGACGCATGGGTCCATGAGCTGCCATCATGTTCCGCGCTCTCATGATGCTGAAGGCGTCTGTTTGTCGACGCGTGTCTGAGCACGGACGTGCGTAGTTCAACGTCGTGTCGCTATCGTCGCCTTCCGAGTCTCGCTCGTGATGGTGCACTGCGCCTATAACACCCGATGCGCAGTCAGTATCGACACCCCGGCCTCGTCTTTTTTGGCTACAGCCCTTTCACTCGCCTGGGTGGTCCAGTGTCATTGTGGGAGAGTTCATGCTGGAGCGGTGTCTCAGCTGCGAGTTTTTTGTCGCCGGGTCGTGGGAAAAGATAGCGCAAACGACGAGACCGTCTCGCGGTTTGCAGTCATGTGACTTTCGCGTGGCAACATGTTCGACTTTCGTGATTCGCGGCTTCTCTTGCTTCTGCATTGTCTCGAGGCCTTTCACGTACGCTCTATAATTGCCGCGCATGAAAGACAAGCTTATTATGCAGTAGGATGCCGGAGATTGCGTCTTTCAGGCCTTATGACCTCGTGCAGGATCCTTCGTTCTACACGAGACCTTTCAGGGTTAAGCTCCTCTGTCTCGAGACGTATCGCATACATTATGTGACACAACGGGGAGGATACACAACAGCTCACTACTGTGACAAGAAGATTTGGACGGTTGCTCAGCTACTCGCCGCTGGTTTTGTGGAGATACCCTGGGACGGCTTGTATGTGTTCCGATGTTGAACGCCCACGTCCTTGCCTCACTTATCATAGGGGGACCTTTGTGATCCTTGACGTTGACGACGTTGCCATCATGGCAATGGTGGGAAAACCTAGAGGTCTGTCACCTGCACAGTCTCTACAGTGGGACGTGCAAGCGGCGCGTTATGGAACTACTGTGGAGAGGTTACGGTCTAGAGATGAGCAGCCCTTTATGGGGGACGCAGGACACCACTCCAGGGGGGACTTCGGTACGGTTACATGGGGTATTGGATACGGCGGCGGACGCAAGGTGCGTAATCATCAGGTTATATGTTGCATGTACTTACTGGTCATAGGTACCAACAAACACAAAATGCCGCACCGCCGCAGAAAGAGCAATTGTAGATGAGCTGGTTAAGGATCCTGACCTACACGAGTTTGCGGGCAGGGGGAGTCGTGAGTTTCGTATTGTGGGAGCAGATATCACTGATCTTGACGGTGCCAAAAGTGGCTTTAGAGATGCTGTTCCCCATGGCTCACGAACATTTATGTGACAAGATGCGCGCACTGCACACCACACATCCCGACTTGAAGTTCAGCTTCGACAACAGCGCATTCCCTGCGTGCACTATGAACCTCGGTCCACAGAGCGTTAGTTTTGTTCACACAGACGGAGGCGATTATCCTGGCCTTCCAGGCAGCCTGCACGCGTTCGGAACATTTGACGCAACTCTGGGCGGACATCTGATTGCTTTCGACTACCTATTTTTTATCCGCTTTCCGGCAGGGACATTGTCGCTGTTGTCATCATCTGGACTACGGCATGGGAATACTGCCATACGCCGTTTTGAAACGCGGTACAGTTTCACGCAGTACGCATCCGGACATCTCATCCGGTGGATAACGCACGGATTCAGGCCGGCTGGAGAACTTAGCGTGGAAGAGAAGATGGCGTTAGACACCCGTAATGGGGAGGGATGGGAGGCCCAGCGATCGCGGTTATCAAATTTTTTTCACCTAGACATTGATCGTGTAAAGGTGTACGAGCGCCGTGTTGCTCGCACGTTGCTGCATTGAAGACACCCGCATGACTTCCGTTTGCGTTTTCGGTTTCCCACGAAATCACATGCCCTTCCGGGTGAATTTTTGTCGTCCGGCTACCCGCTTGCCGTTTCCCTTCCAACTACCACTTCCTACACCATGCCCTTACAGTCTCATATCACCATCGTATCCATCCTTGAACATAATTTAATTCAATCCATTATTGCCGCTCTTTGTGTTTTTCACGGGACATCGACAATTGTCGGGCATGGATTCCCGCGCAAGCGCGGCGCGGATCGCACCCGCGTTAAACCTGTGCTGTGCCAAGACGCACAAACACCCCTTCCTCGAATCCGAGTGCGCCGTAGTCAGCATGGGCAATGCATTGGAAGTATCAGTGCGCATGATGCTACACTCCTACAAATCCGGCTTCCCCGTGCACGACCTGTACATCAACCACGGGATCCGTCAACCACTTGCGTTCGCACGTCTCTTCTGCTCGATTATGGCTATAAGTGGTCTGTAGAGTCTTATACGCTCGCCGTTCAGGACTCAACTTGCTTGGGTACCGTTACATTACCGGCTGTTGCTGCTTCTTATCCCATGTTTTCTACCTCGCAGCGAATTCATCTGGACGTCGGCTCCCCCTTCGCAATACGAACGGCGGTGGCATCTGTGTTATCTAATAGCAATCCATCTTGCAGCGTTGACCCTAACGGTCCCTCATACAGGACGCTGTGTGCTGAGACGGCACTGAGACTCTTGCGTGCCGAAGCTTCCGAATACCTGTCGCAATTTATCATATTTGGCGGCGGAAAGCGAAAAGCGCTTACTTTGCCAGGGGCTTTTGTTACTCGGTACTGCAATTCAGGAGCTGAAGTTAACTCTGACCACACGTATGAATTCGTAGAGCACTACGGTGACTTCGACGGTGAAGAGTTGCATCACGTTCCGGGCGGCGCGATTCTCACCAAAATTCCGTTGTCTCTTCTGGTTGACAAGATGACTATAGCGCAATTGCTATCAGCGGGTATCAGGCATGGTATTAGGAGATCGCGGAACGAGACTTTAACATCTTTGGTATCTCGGGTGAAGACGCACGGCACGCTGGGTCTAGATTGTTGTCATCATAGTGTGACTCTGGTACGACGAACGGAGGGCTCTGAACGGCGACCCAGGAAGAGCGCGACCTCTACCACCAAGAAGCAAAGTCGCGCGACCTCTACAAGGAGAAAGAAGAGTAACGACAACCCTAAAGTACGACATGCAAAAAAACCCGCTACTAGCAGCGCACGTAGACCGCGTGAGGCACGGGAGACGGTCTTCCCCCCACAGCCTGCAGACGCTCTATTGAAAGAGCAAGTCATAACGTCTTTTTGCTCTGAGTTTCAACCCAACAATGTGCTCGAATCGGGTTGCATGGTCTGTGGACAGTTGACCCTCTGTAAAGACTTGAAAGACGTAGATGATAATACCTTCGATTGGTCACTCTTGTCTGACGAGACGGGTTTTGTTACCAAGGCTGAAAGACGCACTCAGGATGACACACCCGCGCCGTTGGATGGCCCCGTTATAGATACTACGTGTGATCGTCAGGTTTGTAAGACTTGCCTCTCGCATCTCACTGGTAAGAATCCAAAACGACCGCCGTATGCTCTTGCCAACGGATTTTGGCTCGGAAATATACCGCACGAGTTGCAAGGTCTTACCTTTGCCGAGCGTCTGCTGATAAGTAGGGTACGACTCAATTATTGTATTGTAAAAGTTACAACTTCGATGCACTATAAGATGCGCGCCAACGCTATAATGTTTCCGTCTCCGGTTGCTAAGATATACGATATTCTTCCTCCCCCAAGAGGTGAGATGGACGAAGTCCTTGCTTATCTTTTTGTCGGGCAGAACAAACCTACACAGCAAGATCACGAGCGTGCCCCTATGCTGGTCAGAAGGAATAAAGTGTGGGATGCACTTACCTGGCTCAAATGCAATCATGACGGATATCAAGATCTGCAGCTGTCACGGGAGAATCTCGAGACTTACGAAGATGGAGCCCCTCCTGTCCTCGTGAGCTACAAGGAGTGGAAAGGCGACAAACAACCGGAGTCATCGGGAGTTTACGATGAACCCGAAAACGAGGGAACAACGGATGGCCCGTGTCCGTTTTCCGTCAATACAGTTGAGGCGGCGGATATTTCACTAGATACAGACGACGCTCAGTTGAAACATTACGCTCTTCTTCATCTTAGAGAGAATGAAGGAAACACGGCGTTTGGTGTGGGTCGAGGGACTAAACCGGAAAGTTTATACAATAACCCAACACTTTACCCCAACGCATTTCCTTGGCTGTTTCCGTACGGAGTCGGGGGTCTGGACATTCGTGTCAATGGAAGGGCTGTCAGCGACGCTGTGCGTAAGAAGCAACTGTTGATGTATCACGATAAACGTTTTCAGTTGGATCCCTACTTTCATCTTGTGGCTTTTAATCACGAACAAATAAAACAAGGTGCAAAAGGGGGCTTTCTGACTGCGAAGAAGAGCAATTTCCCGGACATTGCTAAGCGCATGATGAACCTAGATACTGCCGTACTAGCGTCTCTATACTCCAGGATGGATAGCGGCGAACATGTTACTCCCAAAACCGAAGAGGAGAAATTGTGTTTTCAGGTCATTCGTGATCTTGACCACGTAGGTCAGCATGTCTCTAACTCCAAAACGAATAAGAAGTACATGAAGAATGAATTGTGGTCCACAATTTGTAGTCGAGGTGCGCCGTCGTGGTTCATTACCTTTGCCCCCAGTGACACGCATCATCCACTCGCGTTGTACATGGCAGGATCTTCTGACTGTACGTACCCGAAGATATACGACGTAAAGCAGATGGAGAAACTTATCGCACGAAATCCGGTTGCTTGCGCCCGTTTTTTCCATTTCATGGTGAAGGCATTCGTCAAACATATCTTAGGTTATGGGTCTAAAACAGGATGCGGACTTTTTGGCCCCTGTAGCGGATATTACGGGACGGTAGAAGAGCAGGGCCGCCTTCGACTGCATTTACATCTCGTCATGTGGATCTCGGGTGCGTTGACTCCTCAGGAGATAAGGGACAAACTAGAAGACAGAGACGGGCCGTTCCAGCGAGAGTTGATCGATTACTTAGAATCCTGTCACAATGGCTCGTTCGTCGCATCTGACCCAATATCCATTGCGGAAGGAATGAATGCACCTCGACCAGACGGGTTTCGCGATGCCACCTATGCTCTTCCTACCCCTCCCCCGAATGTGTGTGAGGCTGGTTGCTCAGAGTGCGACACTTGTGAAGCACACCGTGAATGGCAATCCGAAATGGAACAGGAAGTTGACGAGCTACTCTATAGGGTCAATCGGCATGCAACCTGCCATGCCGGATGCACTTCTAAGAAATTCCCGAAATGTAAATCTCGCTTTCCTCGCAAAGTGGTGCCCGAGACAAACGTTGAGCCCGATACAGGCCATCTGGAGATGCGCCACGGTGAACCAACCCTAAACACGTTCAACCCAGTGCTAACGTACTTGATGCGTTGCAATTCGGACGTCACAAGCTTGCTGTCTGGTACAGCTCTCAAGGCCGTTATCGCTTATGTCACGGACTACATCACGAAGAATCCATTGAGGACGCATACTATGTTTGATGTTATCCGTAATGTCTTTCGCAGAAACGAAGAGTTCTTGACCGGAGATGCGACACAGGAAGACAAGGCTCATAAGCTGATCGTTCAGATAACAAATGCATTAACCGTCAAGCAGGAAGTCGGTGCACCAATGGCATCAGCATACCTGCTAGGATTTCCAGATCACTACACAAACTTTACCTACAAGCCCTTCTACTGGAGATCTTATGTTGCTGAGGTAAAGGGTGCATGGAGAGAAGTAGACGGTGATAGTCTAGATGCGGGGGCGGAAGACGAAGAGCGAGTTATCATCAGGAAAGGCAAGGATGGAAAGATCACGTCCTATACCAGCACTCAAGACTACACTATGCGTCCCAGTAAATATGATTCTATGACACTGTATGAGTGGATTGAACGGTACGTGAAAAAGCCTATTCGAAAGCGCAAGGAGGAGCCTGAAGCTCTGCGTGACGAGGTTTCCAGAGAAGACGAAGCACATGAAGATAACGCGGAAGATACAACTGAAGAAGAAGATGCAGATCTCGACGGAGACGATTCAAGAGACCAGTTCTCAGAATCCGATGAAGAATACGAGCCAGAAACAGACGTCGACGACCAGCCAGAAGTGAATACCAAACTCAAAACGGACAAGATGTTCCTGCTCGGCCATCCGCAGCGGAAGACGCACACGGTGTCACTTCTTGATCCAAGCAAGGCGCGTATCCCGCAATTCATCGGAGGATTGTTGCCACGTGAAGACCAGGGTAATCTGGAGGATTTCTACATCGCAATGCTTACTCTGTACAAGCCATGGCGAAATGGGCAAGACCTGAAGGATGCAGAGGAAAGCTGGAAGGAAGCTCACGAAGCATATGAGTATCCTGCAAGGTTCGACGTTATAAGAAAATTCTGCAACATACGCTATGAGTGCTCTGATGCCCGGGATGACTATCGACAGTCTAGGAAAAAGGGTGGGGACGAGTTGTTCTTCATGCACGGACAATTTGCAGCCGAGGCAGATGCCGCACATGCTGAAAGCCAAATATTAGGCTACGATGACGTCGACCTCTCCTTTGATATCACAGGCCCAACGACGGATGCCGCCTTTCGAGCAGAGCAAATGAAATCTGACATGGAATCTGCTTTAAAGTCTTCCGGTTGGAATCGTGTTGCAGATGAGGGACGTACGGAGGGCGAGGGTATCGAACTTATAACTGGGGAAGACTACTCCTCAAAGGAATGGGGTCACATCCTCACTAGAGCGAAGGAGCAAGAGATCAATGAACGAACTGCAAAGATGGAAGGGATAGATGTAAATGCACCCGAGATATCCACAGACTACATGGACGTTGATGTGATGGAGGGTGTTGAAGTGATGCACAAGTCGTACTTCGGTAGGTATTGTGAGGACGCCAGTCCCGAAGACCGCGAACATATGGATGACACTGTCAAGAAGTTCATGCTCAACACTGAACAGGAACGTGCGTTTAGGCTTGTAGCCAATCACTCGCTATTGAAAGTGAAGGAACCACTAGCCATGCATTTAGGCGGCATGGGCGGAACAGGAAAATCTCGAGTCATCAACGCCTTGATCGCCTTCTTTGTCCTGGTTGGCAAGTCTCACATTTTCCTTATTGTTGCGCCGACCGGGACTGCCGCATCTCTGATTGGCGGCCAGACCTACCATTCTGTGCTTGCGTTCAACAGTCCTGGAGAGGAGGGTAAGAGCGGTCGGGTAAACACGGGGCCAAAGGCTTTGAAGTCGGTACGCGAGAGACTGAAGTTGGTTGAGTACGTCTTCATGGACGAGATATCAATGTTGAATTGTGAAGGCTTGTGTAATATAAGCTCGCAGATGTGCAACGCATTGGGTCCGCTGGAGGTTCCCTTCGCTGGTAGAAGTATGATTTGGGCAGGCGACTTCGCACAGCTGCCACCCATTGACGGCAAGCGCTTGTTCAATATAGACGTCGAGTCTACAGTACATACAACGCATGCTGTTAAGAGCCAAAAAAGTAATATGGGTCGAGCACTGTGGCATCAAGTCACTGACGTCGTTATTCTGAAGGAGAACATGAGACATAAGAGTTCCACCGAAGAGGATAGGAAATACAGGACAATGTTAGAGAACTTGAGGTATAACGCCTGCACATATGACGATGTACAGCTCATAAAAAGTCGGGTTGCTAGTACGTTTAACCCAGCCGTAAACCTGAGTAGCGAGAACTTCCGACACGCGTCTATGATTACGGGGAGGAATCACTGTCGCGATCGTGTCAATGATATAGGCTGTCGCGCATTTGCTATAGACAGCGGTCAGAAACTGGAAACATTCTACTCCGTGGACGTTCTCAGAAGTGTCACTATCACGGAAGATAAGCATGGCAAGAGAAAGCGTACAAGTAAGAAAATCAGTGGCGAGGCTGGGCGCCTGCCTGACAGACTTCAAGACGCGGTTTGGAACGTGGACCCTACTCAAACCAAACACCATGCTGGAGCGCTGCAGTTATGTCTAGGTATGCCTGTGCTAATCAAACATAATGTTGCTACCGAGTTATGCATCACTAACGGTGCTGAGGCGAAAGTTGCTGGTTGGAAAACGAAGCACATCGGTAGAGGGCGCCAAGCACTCGAGGTGCTGTTCGTCGAGCTCGTGAAGCCTACAAAAGACATTCAACTAAGCGGGCTTCCGTTGAATGTCGTTCCCATTTCACCGCAAAGCCAGACATTGGACGTCACGCTGCCCACCGGTAAGGACGTTCCGATAACGCGTGAACAGATTCCAGTTCATCCCAACTTTGCGATGACGGACTATTGCTCGCAAGGTAGGACGCGAGAAGCCAACGTTGTCGACCTACGACATTGCATGTCGTACCACTCTGTATATACCGCTTTGTCTCGCTCATCTACGTATGCCGGAACTGCTGTCATTCGTATGCCTCAAATGCGGTTTCTTCGAGGCGTACTTCCCCGCGGCTTACGCCAAGAGTTCCGAGAACTTGAGCTGCTCAATGAGATTACCAGACTGCGATGTGAGGGCCTTCTTGACAAGGGTGTCACGGGCAAAACGAGAGAACGTCTCATCAAGAACTATCAACGAATTTACAAAAATCCTGCATGCCCGGCCGGTGTTCATCCTTCTATATCTTGGGTGGCAGGTGAAACTCTCAACCCAACACCAGACGACGAGAACTGGAAATATAAAGCGGAGCCCGTAAGCAATAATGAAGTAAGTACGAAGAATGAGAATGTCGGGAAACAGGATAGTAAGCGATCCGTCGTAGGTCCTCCGTCTTCCGTAAAAAGGAAGAGCGCAGGCGACAGCGGTGATGGCACACTTCTCTTGAGTACTCCCAGAAAGACTCCTAGGCCTAATGCTAACTTTGTGGATGCTGCGTCAACTTCTAGAATAAGGACTCGCAACGGCGCGAACTTGCTGGCTAATTACTACGGTCCTTCGTGGAGTCAAAACTCCTGTGCATTTGATTCCGTTCTTTTTGTCGTATATGGGATTTTGAAAGACTGCTCTTCTCAAATGCGGAATCACCTCTTCAATCTCAACGATCTGTGGCCTTCCCTCATTGAACAATCCTCGGAGGCTGACAGAACCGGCGAGTGGTCGCTTCTTGATGTTGGACGAGAGTCGATGCGCAATACTCTGATCGGCAGACTTCCTGATATATTTGGCTTCGAGGGAAACGCGGTCGGGGATGTCTGCTCGAATCTCTTTAGGATTGAAAATCCAATCCCAGATGTGAGCTTCACTTGTGTGCAGTGCAAACAGATAAGACAAAGGCCGGGTGCTCGAGTGGCTTCCTGGAGGATTACTCCCGATGACGGATGTAGAACTTTGATTGACTCATTGAAGTTCATAATGAGTGCTAGACGAAAGTGTCAAGCGTGTGGATCTGCATGTGAAATCACATCTCCCGTTCTTCCGGATGCGGTTCCGGCATTTTGCGTACAAACCGATGGCGTCCAGCGTGACTGCACAGCAACAATGACTTTATATGGCACACGATACGCGTTGCGCGGTGTATTGTACGGGGGGGGGCTTTCACTTCACCAGTAGGATGATCACAAAACAGAAGGAGGTTTACCGTTATGACGGTATCGTACAACAGGCTGCGGTGCGCGAAGGGTATTTCAGGGATGTCAAGCAAGATATATTGAACTTACATAACCGTACGGCCGTCGGATTCATATTCTGTAGAATCTAAGTTCAATAACTCGAGTTTCCAAGAATAGTACAGGGCTGGGGGTCTGGAACACTTGTACAAGTCGTGAGTGTCAATCAGAGTCTTCGTCATGTACGGGGGAATCGTCGTCGCTGTCGATTTCCACCAGCTCCCTGCGATCGTCCACGGTGCACCGATTACGAAGCGCTGCAAGTAAAGGCGCCTCCTTGTATGTGTGTCCGGCAACATCTCCTACGAAGACTCTGCCTTTCAAGATCGACGTGACGTCTGAGGCAGGGCGGTTAAACCGGTCCAAAGCGTGCCAAAGTTCGATGAGGTGAGATATTCCGGACGATGCGTAGACTGTGAACGTCTGTAGCGGGCAATTCACGGGGAAATGCTTTAACAGTAGGAAATGGGATTCTTCTTTGACGGTGACAGTGCGAGCGCCACGGAAACTCTCGCAGAGCGTGACGAGTCCTTCTTGGAATGGCAGTTCGTCCTCGTCATCCAATCGCAAGTTGAATTTGAACGAAACAATGTTCTCGCAAGGGAATACGCGCACGAACTCATCCCACGTCCAGCACGGAGTCTGCACGTCCATGCGCAAGCATATGCGCTGACTCTCCCGTACATTTAGGTCGATGGCATAGAAGTCTGAGTCGAAAAGCACCGTCCTGCCCCCGTCCAGATACATGTGTTCGTTATCAAATCTCAGCCTTGCCGCGATATCGCCGTTCGTGATAGCGGGAACGAGGGTTGAGATGGCGTCGATGGCCTTCGATAACGTTGTGACGTTGTGGAGATCGATGTCTACGGAAGTCGTCGCAGACACCCCGCAATATAACGCAAGGAAGGGGAGGATGCGTTCGTCAAAAGACGATATGTCGATGACTTTCAATGCGAGCTTCGGATGTTGGGAGAGATTTCTGGTAGAGACCAGTTCGGTCTCATCGGTGCCGACTGCGCGCCATAAGCGGAGGACTTGCAAGTTGCGCGACCGCTCGAGTATAGATGCGAGTGTTGCAAGCGTTAAGACGCACCCTGACGCGTGCGCGGAGTCGGAATATATAGATAGTTCCCGTAGCGAAAGGCTGTGCAGGGAGCGAAGACGACCGCACTGCTTTGGAAGAAAAGCACTCAGCGCGCGCAAGTGTTCGAAGCGGATGTCGGATAGGAGGTTGGTTATGTCGCTTGTGTAGCAGCGATATCCAGCGTTGCGCGCGCTGGTCGTAATATCCCGTGCTCTACTCCAGAGAGAAGGATTGCTCGCGAATTCCATTACGTCGAGCCGCCGTGGTCTTAAGTTGGCATTGTGTGCCAGAACCTCGAGATCGATGATGACCGGCGCATTTTGACATCTGGCCAAGAACTCGACCATCACTTTTTGGTTGTAGAAGGTGGTGACACATTGCCAGAAGGCTGGAGTGGAGAGCAATATGAACCTCCAGAGCTTGCACACGTGTCCCAGTCGTATCCATCCGAGTCGAACGCGATTGATGGCGTCGATGTGATATCCTGCGGGCCAGACGTCTCGTACGATGAGGAGCACAAGCAGCTTTATCTCGTTTGGGAGTGACATGAATGGAAAGCGCGTTTGAGACATTGTCGACGCAGGCGGGCAAGTGGTGGTTACTTCCGTAGTCGTTGCGGGCGCAACGGGCGCGACACGTGGCTGTCACGTGACTGCAACTCGCGAGACCGTCTGGCCATTTGCGCTCACGTGCCCTCGAACCCCTTTGGCGGTGCCCGTCGCTCCTGATCTTTGCCGGAAACTTGCATCCTCCTCGTCATCCCCTCTGTCCAGGAGATTCTATCATTTATGGCACTGTCTGTAAATCAGAAACCCAACAGTGCGTTTTCGTCTAGGTTTGGCAGCCTGAAAACTGACGGCCTTGATAGGGGCTCCTAGCTACTTTACACCTGCGCGTGGATTCCCTGAAGAACTCGTGCAGTATACAGTTCTCATTGCGACTGAGGCTGGAGTACCAATCTCTTTAAGGAGGTTCCAGCCGTATTCCTGGCCTCTCTCGCTGCGTCGGGTGTGCAGGGCATGGAAGACTGCCATAGACACTTATCCTCGGTTCTGGGCATGCGTGCTGGCCTCTGCGGAAGACCAGGAGTCCTGGAACATGATCCTATCGAAGACCGGAATTTCGCCTCTCACAGTCTCGACGGCATACAGTGTTCCGACAAGTGCGCAAGTTGCAACCTTACAGCGGATTGGGCGGATGTTTATCGCACGCGACCGTGCTCCTATGAGCTGGAACGATGCCCTGACACTGGCTGGGTGTTTGCCGACCCTCCAAATCCTTCACTTAACGCGCGGTTCAACTTTCCATCTTACGGCGTCGCCGCTCAATCTCGACGCCCCCAACCTGCGAAGCTTGTCTCTGGACTGCGCGGGTTCTCTACACGCACCTCTTCTGCACGCGCTGAAGTTCACCAACGTGTGGAAAGGCTTCCCGTCTTACTTGAAGGATGTCATCGCTTTATGCCCCACCGTGCGGGAGTTGGTTATCGACGTGCCAGGGTGCACTGAGGAGCGTATGTGGGACGAAATTCACGTAGTTCTTGCTGGTACACCTCTGACTTCCATCATCATACAATTGGCCGGATGGGCGAGATTCGCGTCCCCCCCACCCGTCGTTGTACCTGACCTTCGGCGGCTTATCTGCAATGTCCCGTCACCGATGACGTCCTGTGCCCTTGAGGACTTCATGGTCGACGGTGAAATCAGTGACATCTTGCTTATGCTCAGAGGCATGCTGTCGTTGCTTTCTCTCGTAGTGGGGTTACACGTCTATGGCGAAAGCGATGTAGCGATACAACCGACTATCCCTCTTCTCCGCTGCAACAAAGTTGTCTTCTCGTGCAACATGGGCGACCACGTCGTTGACATCCTCTCTAAACTGAACGTCCCTCGAATCCTTTATGTCCAACTCTACCTTCACCTGGACACGCTCTCGATTTATTCCCCATTACTCGGGCCGACGGTGGAAGTACCAAGGACGCCGAACGGAGACGTACCGGACTGCGCAGACCAAACGATAGACCGTCGCAGCATGCGCAAAGACACCAAACAACTTCAACGACTTGGTCCTATTCTCCAGAGGATGACGGACGGACGGACCTCCCTCCACATTCATGCTAAATCAGACTCTTGGGGAATGACGACCGTTGACTTTCGCGTACGGGACAACTTTATCGTCAAACACGACGGCCAGGGATTACGCATCACTGTTACCTCGCATCCTCCGGCTTGTCACGACAAGCATCGACACTTCAACCTTATTCCGTTCGCGCACGTCTTGTCTGCGTTTGCATGGCCGTCTGTCACAACCGTACAACTGTCATCCTCAAACCCAGGGGTTCCGATGGTGTTCAGTGGAGGACGAATGGATCCCCTGGCAACGACGTTCGCGGAGGATGGCGATCTATTACAGATGAATCTTTACGCGATGGCGAATGTGGAACGTCTGGTCGTCGACATCACACAAGAGTCCGAGAAGTACGGTGTGGGCTTGTTTCGCGCCTTGTACCATGACGAGGATCGATGGGTGTGGCCCAGATTGGAGCATGTGGAGCTTGTTGCCGGCACATCCACTCCACGGCAGGGCGTGTGGGTGGAAGAGATATCGGCGCTCTTGAAGCATCGGAACAAGGTCATGGTCGGGAACAGTAGGCCAAATCTAACTGTAGTGCTCGGCGCGGAATTTGGGACCGCCGGGTGGCTTGACGTGATGCGTCGTGATATAGAGGGCACGGGGTGTTTTTGGGTCAATTGTAGTTAGGTATTTCGATGGTACGTGGTGGAGAAATGGAGGAGTTCCCATCCGCGAATGTATTGTTTGTATTGATCTTGATCCGATCGCGAGTGTGTGAAAGTCTGTGTCTTGTGATATGTGTCGCGTGGCCGAGTGGCCGAGCGTCAAAGCCTTTCGATTGTTACCACCATCGCACACACACAGAACAGCCTACTTCTGCCTTCATGACGACTGAGCTTATTGCCTCGCAAGTTCGTGCACGCGTCGAAAACGATCTGGCGGCCTGTATTGATAGCGTCACATCCATAACGAAGACGCGCGTGGAAGAGTCAGCAACGCACACTGACGCACGCGTCCTCCAACATCAAATCGGTGCGATAGAGGCGGACACTCTCGCGCGACTGAAAGCTGTGAAGCAGGAGCACTTTGGGATTGTCTGGGAGGGGTCAAAGGTAATGGAGAGGTACCGAGAGCTCGCGGAATGCCGTGCACTAGCGCTTGCGGAGGAGGAGTTCATGAGAGAAGAAGTACGACGCTGCGATCTGCTAGTGCGAGCGCCAATCGACGATCGGCAACTGCATGTCGCTGATGCGGTTAGGGGCTGCTACTCCGAGTACAACGCAATTCTCCGCGGTGCCAGCAAGGACGTGGAGGACATAGATGAGGAGGCGTCGACGTGCTTGGATAACGTGAGCGGGTTGGTGGAGAGAGAGTGGGAGTTAGTTGCGAGGTTGCAAGAGATACATACCGAATTTACTCAGTGGCGTCCCTTCCAAACGAACAACAGGTAAGGAAGTTCTGCTTGATTCATTCAAATGCTTAACTACCGTCTAGCTCGTAGTAGAGGATGAACATGAGGAAAAAAAAAAGTCGCGAGCCTTCCTTCCCAGCATGTTTTCGGACTGTATAATATTCTTTCCCGTGTCAAATGTACATGATCGTACTGTCAACAACAATGCATATGAAGCGTGCTACGCCCCGTCATTAATTCTGGAAGCGATAGTCCCGCTTCGTCATAAGCGGCCGCCGCCGGGTCACGTGCAAACAAAGATCGTGCCTCGTCATCAACTTCACCTCCAACAACGATCGCCAGCACCCGGCTTGCCTGCAATGTGTGCGTTTTACACATCCTTGACGGAATGGAATCGCGTTCGCTTGGTATATTGTCATTCTATATGCGATTGTACGGCTCTGACTTGCCAATAGAGCATGCTGCCATGTGAGATCTGGAGTATGGTCGTGGTCGAGCTTGCTGCTCTCGACCCCCCTGGCTGCCACCGCCCTCACTCGTGGAACGAGGACTACACGACTATGACGTTGGGGTTCTATAGACTTGCACATACGTGCAGTCAGTTGCGGGCCATAGTGCTCAAGCATGGGGAGCTGTTTGCACCGGTCGTCCTGTCAATGGGAAATGAGGAGGCGGCCGATCACTTTGCGCGTCTGTCAGGGGCTCATCCGCTGACTTTGGACTTCGACCAAGCGATGGCGACATCTCGGACGCGCGACATCTCCAACTTCTTCTATCATGTTCTCGACAAACCGGCCTTCCTACACCGAGCGCGCGAGTTGCGATGCACCTTGGGTCTTGAAGACCAGATCGTGGCGTCTACAAACTACGTTCGCAGAGGACCTATCGAGGACCTGCTATCTTTTGTTGAGGAGAACGCTTCGGGAAGCCTGCTGGAGCGACTCACTTTCCCCATGTTCGACACGCACGACTACACGCCCAAATTCAAGTCAACGACTCTGACTTACGCGCATTTCATTGGCCTACACGTACGCGAACATATTGCGTGGTATCGTCCGGCGCCAGCATACGAAGGTTTCGTTGTCGAAGTCAGGCAACGCGAAGATGTCGAAGCTTACGTGGAAAATCTACTCGAACTGCTGGAGGGATGCCCGAATCTCAAAACCATCATCATCGAACAAGTAACCTGGACGGACGATGGGGATCTGCTGCCAGTTGAAACGGGTGCGAACTTCGTCGTGAAGAGCCTCGGTGCGGAAGGAGTCGAGCGCATGATGGCGCATGTCCGTACCACGGGTACTTGGGATGTACGCACCACGTCCTCTCTATCTTCGCCCTTTCTCCGCGACTTGGTATACAACAAGACGGTCTTACATTTACACTACTCATCCGAGTGGACTTGCGCTTCGTACCAGGACGACGGGAACTCGGATACTGGCATGTTGCTCGACGACGACACTCGAAACGATATGCGCGACCTCTCCCACCCTTACGCCTTTGACTTGAAGATCAGGCTGGGTTGCGTTGTTGTGTCAACGTCTTCTCGACCCGATGGGATGGAATTTTACCGGACGTCTCTAGACCTCTTGACCATCCAGGATGTCGGATACTTTTACGGGGGTGGCGATGTCGACTGGACGTGTCTCAAGGCTTTGAAATCTTTGCATACGCTGGTCCTTCATACGGAACGAGACGTGTCAAACATACTTCAAAACTGCAAGCCTCGTAACATTGTCGTACACTGCTCGCGTCCCTGGAGGGAAAATCCTAGCGTGCTTGGGTTAATCGAAGCCCTCCATCGCTACGAAGAGGACGGGACGTTGCCGGAGAGCATCACATTGGAGGGCCGTAAGACTCGCATCTACACCGAGACTTGGCCAGTACTGCCGGGTGTTGTGATTCGTGATAGGCGGGTGTGAGGACAAGAACAACATATTGAACGGATGTTCCGTGCGGTCGTGCGCTGTTTACGTGGCTGAATGGCGAGTTACGGCGGCTTTATTTTTTTGTACTATCTTCTTGTCTACTGTGTCCCTGCATGCGATCTATAACGATAATATCCATAGCATCTTGAAAATTTGGTTAGGAGGAGGAAAAAAATTGCGTGGTCGAGATTCGAACCCTGGCCCTCGATGAAAATAAAAAACCCGCCATGTAACCAGTAGACTATTGAGGCTCAAAACATCAAAATAAATTATATGATAAGATACCAAGGCATAAATACCCCGTGTGTGCCACGCTCTGCGATGGCCTGTCCTCTGGTCCAACGGGTCACGTGGTCGCGTCATCGGCGGGCGCGCTTCAGAACGCGCGAACCGGAGTTGATCACAACCACCATCATCGTGCTCTTCTTCGACCACTCGGCAACGGCTATGTTCTTCGTAGTCTCTGACGGCGCTTGTGTGTCTCAGCACGGATGTTCTTGTTGCGTCACAGTGTTCTGTGACGTGGCAGTGCTCTGCGTCTGATCCGTCCTGGAATACTTTGGCCTTCCAACTCTCTGCGAATGATGGTCGCGGCGATAGAGAGATGGCGTACTAGGCGGCAGAGTTAGCGTGTATGTGAATGGTGGACGCGTG